AAAAATAGAAAGAAATTAATCGGACAACTAAAAATATGTAGAAAAAATTAGCCGAGCATGGTGGCGCATGCCTGTAGTCCCAGCTACTCGGGAGGCTGAGGCAGGAGGATCGCTTGAGCCCAGGTGTTTGAGGTTGCTGTGAGTTAGGCTGATGCCATGGCACTCACTCTAGCCCGGGCAACAAAAGCGAGACTCTGTCTCAAAAAAAAAAAAAAAAAAAATCACCAAGTGGTTTTAATTTGTATCTGCCCTTTTTTTTTCTCTTGAGATAAGATCTCTCTGTGTTGCCCTGATAATGCAGTGGCATCATCATAGCTCACTGCAGCCTCCAACTCCTGGGCTCAAGTGATCCTTCCGCCATAGCTTCCAGAGTAGATGGGACTATAGGCACACACTACCACCCCTGGCTAATTTTTAAATTTTTTTGTAGAGACAGTCTGGCTATGTTGCCCAGGCTGGCCTCAAGTGATCTTCCTACCTTAGCCTCCCAAAGTGCAGCCAGCGGAAGCCACCTTGCCTGGCCTGGCCTATCTGCCCTACTTTTAATGTGGTTAAACAACTTTTCATGTGTTTATTTGCTGTTTGGTTTTCTTTTTTGTGAATTCTCTGGTTTTTTCAGTTGTCCTTTTTTGGGGGAGGTGTCATTGCTTTGTAGGAGTGTTTTGGTGTGTGTGTGTTTGTTCGTAAATGCTAAATACCAGTCCTTCTTCAGTTATGTATATTACAAATATTTCCCAGTTGTGGCTTGATTTAGCATTCTTCCCGGAGTCTGTGGATGAACAAAAGCTCTAAGTTTTAAGGTAGAGGGGCATAGTCATCTGCCCCTATCATTGGTACCGATTGTGTCTCCTTTAGGAAATGCTTCCCCACCCAAGGCCAGGGGCCACTCCCTGTGTTATCTTGGCTGGCTGTACAGCTTTGTCTTTCACTCTTCAATCTTCTGTCTGGAATCGATGGCTGTGTGAAGCTGAGTGTCTGATTTTCCACATGGATGTCCAATTAGTCCAGCACCACTGGATCTGCACTGTGACTTCTGTGGCTCTGTTTCCAGGCTCTGTTCATTTGGGCCATTTATGTATTGCTGTGCTAATAACCCACTAAGTCAGTTACTGACACTTATGTTCATAATAAGTCTTGTTAGCTAACAGGGCAAACCCTCCCACTTTATCCTTCCTCAGTAGCATTTTTGGCTATTCTTCTTGGCCCTTAGTACTTCCATATATATTTCATATTCATTTCTCAGGTTACACACATAAAACCTGCCTATTGGGATTTTATCTTCTTAATAATATTAAATCTTATAATTTGTGAATATGGTCAAATCTATTTAGATCTTCTTTATTTTTTATTTTTTTGAGACAGAGTCTCTCTCCATTGCCTGGGCTAGAGTGCTGTGGC